ACATTTTCTGTATAACCATACAAAAAAACTGGCCTTTCATACGTATCGGCCACAATCTGTGGACAGACAAAAGTGCTGAACCACAGCACATTATCCTCAGGTAACAGGCAGGGCGATTTGATTGTAAGAAGCTTGGTAAGTATCTTCTGCTCTTCGTAATTTACCACGGCTTCTGTTCCTACAGCTTTGTACAAAGAATCTTTATACTTGAGATATGTATTCAACATATCCTCTTTGACATTTATCCAGTTACTTTGTGTTTTATACACATCATAACTGACTGCTCGGAATCCGCAATTACCATCTGCCCCGACACTGTGGATGGCAGCCACTGAATTTATGGGGCTGACTTGAATCCACTTGAAGACGGTATCGCTTTTTAAATTGCGATAAGACAATACCCTTAAAAAAATGTTTAGGACATGTTATTGAATGTCTTTCCTTTCGTCTGATTCTCACCTATCATATCCAGCTGAGTTTTCCTTACTCAAATTGATGCTCTTATCTGCCTTCATAAGTGTATGTTTAATGCTGGTGGCGTGCGCTTTTTCTTCTTTGTTTTTAAAAACCAAAGTGAGTTTTCTTTTCTTCTGCTCCAAAGCCACATGTCTTTCTTCTATCTCTAAGATTCTTCTTTTCTTTTCCATATTTTCTTCTTCTTTTTGTTTCTTTTCTTCTTTTTTAATGTCCTTTTTTTGACTTTCTTCAAACAATTCTTTTGCTATTTGCAGTCGTTTGGTTCCACTTTTTACTCCTTGTGCAGAGGGTCTGCCTTTTCTATTGGAATTAGTTGTAGGAGGTTTTAACTGATCTATTTTGATAGCAGGATTTAAAATTTTATCATTAGCTTCTTCTAAAACAGTCAATGCATCTGCTATTTGCTGCTGAGTAGAGAAGTCTGCAATTGAAGAATACATTTTGTGAAGGACCTGCTCAACTTTCAACATTAGTTGTTTTCTATCATTTCGATAACACAAATCATCGTCTGAATATGACATTTTGTTATTGTAATTAAAGAATTGTTAGCGCACTTTCTTATAAGGTTCATTGCCCAGCAAGAAGTTAGGATCGTCTTACCGGTTCTTCTTTCTACGGGTTCTAATTTATAAATGTTATTATTTACTATATTTTGTTTGGTACATATTTCATACAGTCTTAATGCTATGACATATCATCACTCATGTGAGAGACAATGAACTTACCTTCGCTATTTTGCTTTTGTTCGATTTTTTCATTATCCGCAAGTGGTATGAAACTGTAATCATTATCTTTTTCCTCATCACTGACTGATAAGACTGAAACAACATCACTTTTATCATCATGTTGGACAGAAGTTTCTTCTTTTTTGGGATCTCTATAAAAAGTAGCTTTACGAAACATACAGTAACAATTAGCATAAACTATGCTTAATACAAGATTTATTTAAATACTCATAGATTCAAGACAAATTACTGGAACTATAGTATATACTAGCCATCCTTCTCTATACACAAACACACACCCATATTGACAAACCCTTTGTAATTTAACTTACTCTCTTTTTCTTCTTTCTCCTCAACCGTCTTATCTAAGCTATACTTATCTTCTAATCCATCAAAATCTAGTAATGATAATTAAGTATGTGTGGAATCTTATAAAAATATGCACTTACTTTCATCAAATTCAAGTCTCCAGCGCTTATCGACTACTTCGAGAGGGAGAACATCCGAATTTGCAGCAATTACACAGGGACAAGGTAGCTTGTAATTGATACGATCAGCACAGTTACAGTTCTCTCCTCTTGTCACAAATCCAGTTCGAAGAGAATAGATCGTGTTTTCTCTTATTTTGTCCATTGCAAAACGAACGACTTTGAACTTCAACTTTCGTATCGGTATTCCATGTCTTTGTCAAAGACGTTAGCATCAATGCTAATTCTTTCAATACCCATCTTTCGATAACGTTCATCTCTCTAAAAAGTGAGAAAACGTGAACATATGCATCATATGGGGGTTTTCTTTTTTTCTTTTAACAATCAAAAACTGCTTACTTTCTTCTGATAGTATGCAAGCATACGTCCTGTGGTCATAGCTAATTTTGCCGCAGATTGGTTTCCCAGAGCCTTTTTTAATCCGGAGTGGAAGCTCTCTGCTCTTGCTGACGTACGATTTCCCATATGAGAAAACTGGTTGGCATAAAAACCAACCCAGTGCTTCTTTTTGTCTTCTTCAAGCAAACTGTATAAATGCTCAGTTAAGATATAATGTCCCAACCACGATTATAAATCACGAACTTACACTTCTTTCAAATAAATCAAGGCAGATCTACCATTGTCTTTGAAGCAGTCAGTTTGGGTAACTATCTGCTCAAATTTGGAAACAGCATCGAGGTATTGTTGTTCCTTATTGCTTCCGACAATAGCTTTAAACTGTTCTTCAGCAAGGCAACGACGGTATCTATATTCCACGGCATTTACTTTTCCAATTGGAAGTTTAGTTTCCATAGTATTCCATAAGTCCCAAGAACACAAAAGATGGTGGCTTTCTGGAAAAACATTATCGATAGCATTTCTTAATGCTCTTTCGTTATCTGTAACAAATACATTGGGAAGCTCGTAATCTTTTTCCTCGGGCCAGATAGCATTTCTCAATTCCTCAAGAACCCACGTATATGCGGCTTCCGTCTCGGCATTTACGAAAGCTGCAGCCACAGCAAATGTTTGTAATCTATTTGTACCTCTTACTGAGGATACATTACTAGTTCCAACGATGTTGATCAACGAAAACTTGTGTGCGTTTGTTTTGTATGTTGCGTCAATAGTGATTGCTTCAGGCCATCTTCTTGTCTCGTATATAGCATCTTCATGAATAAAAAAAACGCTTTTGACTTCTTGATCTGGCTTGACCTGGATTCGAACAACATATCCAATATCTTCTAAATGGGTGATTAAAGAATACATTTCTTTCCCGTCCTCATTTTTCAAGAACAAGGTTTGGATGTTTTGAATATCCTTTTTAATCATGTTGTTGATACCCAAGGCAGTCAATGTCTAAAAAAATCAGTCAGTGAGAATGATCTAATTGTTTGTAAATGATTTGATGCTTACATCCATAACGCTAGTTACAGGATCCTTATGGCCACTAGCCAAAATGCTATAGATACGTTCCATGATCTTTGGACTCTGTTTGCGATTGATAGCGTAAGTTGTGAAATCCTGAGAAATGGGATGGTTGTGTTCCATTTGGGATCTAGTGATTGTGAAGTTGTATAACTTAATAAAAGCGGGACACTTGAGTTTTTGGGTGCTTTTTTTATATTTTTTTTTTAAATCCTCGTCTTTCTGTTCGCTTTTGTTGCCGGAATCTTCGACTGTAGGAGATTTCAACAAAATACGCTTATCACCACCGTGTTTGCATATATAATGGAAGTCTCCATTGGCAGGATGAGAGTTGGCAATAGAAAATATGACATTAAATTTGTTTCCAAAATCTCGAATAGCCTTTTTTAAATCGTCTCTCGTTTCAAAATGTTGTCCGACGCAAAATTGAACACTGAATTCAGAATGCATTTCGTCGCGAGTGCTTCTTGATTGAGAGAACATTCTTTGAGTTTATTACAAATGTCAAGGTTAATGTTAATACAATTATAGTTCTAATAAGAAAAGGAAGGAAGCTGTCAAAAACTTTCAGTCATTTATCAATTTACAAAACGGTGCCTGAAAGTACATTAAAGAGAGTGACGTGAACATTTTCAATTTTTCCTGTCGGTATTTTAATCACTACGTGAAAAAAAAAAAAAAAAAATACTACGTACAAATTCTACGTGTATCAAGAATTAACCTTTTTTTAATTTTTTTTATGTTAAACTCCGACAACTTTTTTTTGCAAATTAGTTCTTTTTTATTTGTCGGGTTGTTGATCTTGATAAAGTTATAAATCAAAGCAGTACAGGGACAAAGCACATTTTTTTTTTTATTTATTTGAAGTTCAAAGAACAAAGAACAAAAGAAGTTCATTTTTCAAATGCTCCCGTAGTAAAACATCTGTTTTTTTTTTTTTTTTTTTTTTTTTTAGGAAGAAAAACAAGAACAAATGTTTTTTTTTTCTTTTCAAAGCAGTTTTCATCTGACATTACGTTTGTCATTGATTTCTCAGCAAGAGACTTACCCAAATACTCATACTCTCTAGGTATTATTCTAATAGTAATAGTAATTGGACATATATTAAGTCCCCCAACTCTCTGATTGAGCTTTTCGGATGATTTACTGTCATCTACTATATTACAAACATTACAAACATTTGCAAAAACGAATATTGTACGATGTATCTGGACCTGGGCACGGCACGGCACGGCACTTTTTACTTTTTTCAAAGCAGTTATCACTGGGAACTTTTTGGGACACGACACTTTACACTTTTTTCAAATTCTACCGTTTTCAAAGCAGCTATCACTGGGAACTTTTTGGGACACGACACTTTACACTTTTTTCAAATTCTACCGTTTTCCAAACAGTTATCACTGGGAACTTTTTTGGGACACGACACTTTTCACTTTTTTCAAATTCTACCGTTTTCCAAAGCAGTTATCACTGGGAACTTTTTGGGACACGACACTTTACACTTTTTCCGAAGCAGTTATCACTGGGAACTTTTTGGGACACGACACTTTACACTTTTTCCGAAGCAGTTATCACTGGGAACTTTTTGGGACACGACACTTTTCACTTTTTTCAAATTCTACCGTTTTCCAAAGCAGTTATCACTGGGAACTTTTTGGGACACTTTTCACTTTTTTTTCAAAGCAGTCACATGGGCACTTTTTACAAATGCTACCGTAGTAAAAAAAAGGATGTTTTAATATTTTTAATATTTTAATGTTTTTCCACTAAAAAAAAAAGATGTTTTAGGGTCACAAAAAAGCGGTACTGGTACTGTAGGTCCCGCGGTAAAAGCTTTCACTTTTGACGGGTACCCCTCCTGTTGTAGTTTAGGTAGGGTGCGTCTAGCGATTGGAAATTTCAAATGATAGTAACATAAAAATTCAAGTGTAGCCCTGACTTTATGAATAGCAGTCGGTAGGGTACATGTAGAAGAAAAAAAAGTAGTTTTTTTTTTGATTCTACAGTCTGCTCACGAACTCAAGGTGGAAATCAATGCCCCGCTTGCCCGTGCATACGATGTACCCAATCTAAAAGTCGATGGCACGCGAATTAGTGCTTCGGCACGTTTGGCCATGGCAGGCCTAAATTTTACGATATACGCGAGTAACTACCACTTTGTCCACTATATGATAAAAAACATGCTGCCCGGAAGTTACCATCGTGTAACTGGCGTCTTTTCTGCATCCGCCTACATCTCCCAGACCTCCACCAGGGCGATGTTAAGCATCCGTGTTAGCCCACCCTCCTTGCGCCCATTACGGTGGATCGTAGCACCACCCCCGCCGACGCCATCCAAGTGGCGGATTCGACCACCACCACCACCAACAACAACAACAACAGCAGCAGCACCACCACCACCAAAAAGTTGGAATTTTTAATACACCTCTTCTGCCTCCAAGAATGGTAGAATTGCCAAACCTCCCGCGGGGACAAAGTCGCCTTTGCCGAAAAGCTCCTCTCCCTCTACGACCGTCTCCTCCAACAGGCGATGATCACTGGACCTGGTGCCGTTTCCCCTCCCGTCTCCATCCAAGACGCAACCTTGGAAACTAGAAGTAGCTTGCGCCCCGGTACGAAAAAGACCACCGTCAAGGAAGTTGTCTTGGGCACGTACCCTGCAGTCAACATGACGACCAATATCGATGACTCGCCTCTCGTTGTGCCTCTCCCGCCACCTCCTCCATCCCCCAAACAACAACAACAACAACAACACCATGCACAAGAGCCAATGCTCGACTAGGTTTTTTTTTTTTTTTTTTATTTTATACTCAAGGATGTCCCTTGCGCTCTGTTCGCTTTTTTTTTTTTTTTATATTTTTTCTATACTCAAGGATGTCTTTTTGAACCTGCTTTTTTTTTATTATACTCAAGGATGTCTCTTTGAACCTGCTTTTTTTTATTTTTATTATACTCAAGGATGTCTCTTTGAGCTTTGATGGCTCTCTTTTATTTTTTCATATTTTTATTTTTACTCAAGGATGTCCCCCTTGCGCTCTGTTCGCTTTTTTTTATATTTTTTTTTTATACAATAAAAACCATCATTTGACAAGCAACCCAAACTAGACTATAGGATGAAAAAGAAAAACGAGACTATATTATATATTATTATAAAATGGACGTTCCGTAGAGTTTAAAAAAGACGTGGGTTGATTGAGTTTAAAGTGAGCACCAAATCAATTAATAGGTTTTGATTAGACCTTTGTTATCGTATTGTTATTAAGGGAAAGAGAAAGGAACAATCAAGAGTTCGTAAAAGAATCAATGATTATATTGTATGAGTTATTAAGTTAACGAGAAGCTTTTATCAAGACTGATTTAAGTATGTAATGGTACTTCAAAAGAGAGTTGTTTTACTATACAGGGTCTTAATTACGTTATGATGGTTCCGATTAAGGATGTTTCTTAACGAATTTTAATAAAAGTAAATGATTTTGTTTGACGGAGTAAAGTGTGTACTGTTTCTGATTATAGAAAATAATAGAAGGTGTTCACACAAGGTCAGAAATATATAGAATGGTTCCAGATAAGGATGTTTTCTTATATATTTATACAAAAGAGAAAGTAGATATAGAAGAGTTTTTATTGAGACTGTTTAAAGTACGTATGTTACTATTCAAAAGAAAGTTGTTTACTGTACAGGATCTCGAGATTTACTGAATGGTTCTTATAAATTAAGATGTTTTCAAGTAAGTCTTTATAAAAAAAGAAGAAAAGAAAAAAAAAGAAAGAAATAAAAATAAAGAAAGAAAAGAAAAAGAAAAGGAAGTAAGAGCAAATATGGCTCGGTTATAGTAAGTTTTGTGAGAGTAAAATATGTCTGAAGTTTATTAAAAAAATGGAAGGGGATATTTATAATTGTTTTTACGAATGGTGTAACCATCGTACTTTGAAAGCTCTTAATTAATGTCTATGTTTGGTTAAAATGTTTTCTTACAATATTTCAATGAAAAAGAAAAAAAAACGAAAAGCAACACTAAAACTCCACCGTATTCATAAACGCAAGGTGTCTATCTTGACGAATGGTGTCTTGCCATCCTTGCCACACCGTATCATTGGCATCTTCTACGACACTGAACGGTACCTTCTCCACCATCAACAGGTACCCCGAACGTCCCACCTGCTCCACCAACCATTGTAAACGCCGTAAGGAGCTGTTGTAGTTGAAGTATAATATTGTAATAATCGGACTTATTGGGACTGTTTTAAGAAATAGAATTGTATAAGAATTCCTTTTATTGATATAGAAATGAGCATAATATATATAGTGTTTTTCATAGGGGTAATTTGGCATAGGTTCGGCATAACGGTATTTATATAAGTGAAAATAATAAGTAAATTATCTTCGGCAAAGTATCTGGTAGAACGGGTGATACTTAAACCTCGGCATATATAAGTACAATTTATCCGTGACTTCGTATTCATTACAAATATACATATACTTGGGACTTCTTTATTTGAAGTTCCGAGCCTGGTTTAAATATCAGGTTTTATCCTATTTTTAATAAAGTTCATCTTTTTTCTGTCTCGTATTTATACTTGTGTTAATCGACTATTTCAGGAGCGCACGACCCGGCAGTACTTGCTCCTCTTCCAGCCAAGACGTAGAGCCAGCGGAGAACCCCAGCGCATCCCCTCCATCCCGTTTTGCACGTTTTCCTCCACCAACCTCAACAGCTGCGCCCAATAGAGATATTTTTGGCCACTGGGAGCGGCCGCACAATACCCATGCCAGCGAAGCAAGCTCCCAGCTACCTCGTCTAACCCTCCTCCTCTTCCTGCAGCGACTACCACCGGCATCTTCAGCAGCTCACCTCGAATTCGCTCTGCCGCCGCTTCCAATGCCCTGTCACCACGAACATCAAACAACACCTCATCTACAACCGCCAGTCCTCTTTCCCCATACATGCGGTTAATCTCCCGTAGGATGTTTCCCATTTTGAATCGCACATCATCGATTCCTGTAAAGAAGGGAGCTTCTTCTTCTTCTTCTACCTCTTCTTCCTCTTCTTCCAACGCTGCTGGTTGTTCTTCCTGAACCTGTGGTAACGGATCGAGGTAGTCTAACAAGTTAATATCCGGTAGTTCCGGTGCATCAGATGCAAGGAATTCTTCTACGTTAAAGGTAGCGGGGTCAAAAGGATCCATTGTTTTTTGTGAAAGGAAGAATAAAAAAAAAAAATAGAAAACCCAAAAAAAAAACCCACCCAGGGCTTTTTATTCAAACCCTTTGTTTGCCATGTTAAATTGGATCTTCTATCACCCCTTCCCTTTTTTTCCCATGTTAAATGAATGCATGACTCATCCCATCCGTTTTTTCCCCATGTTAACTATGTTAAATGAAAGAATGACTCATCCCCATCCGTTTTTTCCCATGTTAAATTGGATCGTCTATCACCCATCCCCTTTTTTTCCCATGTTAAATTGGATCGTCTATCATATATCCCCTTGTTTTCATGTTAAATTGGATCGTCTATCACCTATCCCCTTTTTTTCCCATGTTAAATTAGATCGTCTATCATCTATCCCCTTGTTTTCCCATGTTAAATTAGATCGTCTATCACCTATCCCCTTTTTTTTCCCATGTTATATTAAAGATGGACTTCGGGTATGTCATTTTTGACAGGGTACGCACGGCCATTGACAGGCCATTCAGGGTATTCACTTGCCATTCTTTACGCCACATCACTTTTTTAAGCTTTATCCAAAGGTTCGGGACCACACCGGTCGCGAACATACGAGGGAGGTCGGGAACAACGACGTCGAACAAGAGCGCGTCGGAACTGAGACCACGGACCCATCAGAGAGGTTCGGGACCAAGCTAACCGCGAACTGATCGACAAAAGATCACACTGTGTGGAAAAAAAAAGAGAGATTATTTGATTGGTGGGCCCGGTATGTTTTTTTATTAAAAAGAAGAGAGAGGGAAAAAGAGTGAGAGAGAGAGAGAAAGAACGTATATACAGTATATATAGGGATGTCATAGAGATATGTTTAAAAAACATAGAAGATGTGTAGTCATGGTCTGAAATACGTGTTTCAATGTCTCATTCTTTTTTTCCTCTTTGCCTTTTCTATCTGTTTAATAACAAGCGCTTCATGATCTCGATGGCATCACAATTGGCACGGACACGGACGTTCGTATGGTCGGTAGGGGTCAAACCAAAGAGATACACGTCTTGGGGACGTCGCACACGGCTGAGAGCCACATAAAATTCGCCATGGGAAGGCATGTCTTGCAAGAAAATCGCCAAGGCCGGTAACGTCAAGCTTTGGACCTTGTGGACAGTGGAAGCCATCGCCAATACAAACGGAAATTGTGTCCTACTATAAATCGTATCATAGACATAATCACTTACCTTACCAATCACCCGACTGTAGCCATGGGTCAAATGCCGCAGTCGAATGTAATCGTCGTCACAGACTTCTTCTACCACCGCCAAACATCCATTCGTCCATCCGTGTTCGACATCGAGATTGTAGGTGAGCATCACGGTGATGTCCTTCTTGAGCAATAGCATCTTGGGAAGTCGCGTTTCCAGGTCGAGAATGCGCGTGGCATCGGGTTGTGAGGGGGATAATCGACGGCATCATGTCCGCTATGATCGGCCGGTAAAGCATCCATCATGCGGGCATTTTCCAGGTGCGCGAGGTGGCGCGTGGTATAGAGTCGAATGGCATGACGGGGAATATCTCGCTTGTCATAGCAACGTTGTCGAATAAACTCCACCACATGCGGGTTCAACTCGTAGACGCGAATCTGATTGAGAATAGCTGCATAGTCTGAATTGCCCTCTTGACGAATGGGTTGGGTCAATTGCAGCTTGTGACCGTAGTGCCAGAGGGGGGATTGCCAGATATAACCTCCTTCTTTCTCTGCTTCGACTGGCAGTAATTGGCCTATATCGCCAAAAAACACAAAATGGATTCCTCCAAACGGGGCTTTGCGATTCGTCACTTCGATCAAGGTGGAGGAGATATGGTGGAACATGTCGACAGAAATCATCGAGAATTCATCCACTAAAAACACCGACTTTCGGTACAGCTTGACATGGTCATTGAGCTTGAGCTTATTCACTTCGTTACGCTCATTTGTCATCCCCATAAATCGATGGATGGTCTCGCCGTAAATGTAGTACGCAGCAACGCCGGTGGGTGCTAATCGTTCCACATGGTAACCGTGTTGACGGTAATAGGTATGCAATTTGGGAAGCAAGTAGTATTTACCGGTACCAGCAGCGCCAATCACAAAGTGGTACGTCGCGGTGAGATGATCCACAATTTGCCGAAAAACAAGGTCTTGCTGTGGGGTCAAGGGGGTATTGTACATGGCTTCATACTCACGGATACGCTCGCCTGTCATCGTCTGGGGGACTTCACCGCCTTCTGTCATCACGATCTCTCCTCGTTCCACGAGGCTGATAAAATACTCCTTCCAAGTACCGCCACCACTACTGGTGTTGTTGTTGTTGTTGTTGTTGTTGTTGTTGTTGTTGTTGTTACCACCACCACTGGTAGGTCTTAATCGTTGCGTTTTAGCCGCTTCAAACGTCGTTCCAAATACAGGAATACGGGTCACCACTTGCTGGTAATAATATCCTTCACTATCCTGACATGCCTTTGTATAATGGGTACGCCATACGCGGGGAGTGTCCTTCAGGATGAGTCGAAATACCCTGTCCTTTGATTTGATGGCCTTGGGTAAGGGTACATCGTGGTAGGCGACGGTATGCATCGTCTGGGTCATGCCTAGCCAACGTCGTTTTTGAACGCTACCGAACACCCCGTAATAAAAGCAAAAAACTGAGGTAATGTCAAGTGGGCACCGCCTTCACGGGCGTCATATTTTTCAAGAATACTGGTACTGTAAATATCCGTCTCGTCTTCATCCAAAGCCCGTAAGTCCGATCGCAACTGGCGTTGATTTTGATAGGGTAAATTCGTGGGGATAAATTCCACTTGACGCAAGGAACGATGTTTTTGAAATCCCAGCACATCATACACCGCTTCTACTGCACCTACCACACGCGATTTTGTATGTTCAAACGCCGTCATCGTGTCGAGTCGGCGACGTCCTCTTCCTCCTCCTTCTTCTTCGAGGCTAAATTCCACATCATGGTCGGTTTTGGTGAGGTATTTGGCCAGATAGTACATGGCAGCTGGCCCAGATTGACCTGGATATCCATATTGCATTCAAACATGGCCAACAAAAATGGACAGTACGGATTGACGTACACATCGGCCGCCGTGCGACGGTAATGACATTGATCTTTTTCGATATAGGCTTCCTCCACCGGTTCCTTGGGATAATGAAATCGACATGGCTTTACGGGATTGCTGTCTTGGCAATATCGGATATTGCAGCAATGGATTTGATGACGGCTTACCAACGGATAGAGAAGATCGTCTACAGGTGGTAAACGGGCACAGACAATGTTTTCATCCATCAACAGTTCTTGGGCCGTACGATGGGTCCAAAGTACCACATGCATGTGGGGGCTTCCTCTATCTAAACATGGGAGAGGGGGTGGGTTGGTTAGTTTCACCTTGTGGCTTTTTTTTTTTTTTTTTTTTTTTTTTACCTTGAATTTCAAGTACATAACTCCAATCACGAATACCTCCAATACTGGGTCCCCAGCGCTTCATGATGTAGTAGGAAAAAAAGCGCGTCCATTTACGTCGGTATTGACCGGCAAAAATAACAGGATCTGTCCATGGCTCCTCTGATCCGGTCGCATGCTTGAATTGGGGGGACAGGTCATCGCAACTAAAGGTTAAAAATAATTGGGGTGGACCCAATTGCTCACACATGGCTTTCAAATTGAGATAATGCCGTCGATGGTAGGCATAGGAGGAGTGGATGGTATGGGGTACAATCGTCACTCGATTCTCACGAAAATTACCTTCACCATCCATCACATCTTGGCGCCGTGTCGCTCTTCGACTTGTTCGCACCGTATGGCGATTAGCAGAATGGATATTCTGTTTTTCAATGATGTCCATCGCCCAAAAAAGAAAATTGGGGTCTCTCGCAAAGCGACGATCCGCCTTTAGCAGTTGGGTCTTGCAATATTGACCTAAGGTATAAAAACGGCTGGCGATAGCTACCCCTCCGTGTTGTTCTTCCATCACATGGCCTTGTCCATCGGTCACATCCTCATTTCGTCCCACCATCGAATAATGACCTCTACATTGGGGAAATAACCAGGGAAATAACAGCGCCATCAAAGCAGGATGACCCAATCGAATCACATTCTCATTCACATCATGACCTTAACACACACTGGTTAAGTACTCACGTATTTTTGATTTTTTTTTTTCGTTCTCTCTTACCCATAATCAAGTTGTTTAGTGGCACCGGGGCCGCATTGGGATTCATGCCTTCACTGGGCATTAAGATTTGATCACGCCAATGATCATTCACTCGCACATGCTGGTTGTTCTCACGGATGTGATATTCTACCATATTTTCCACATCCTCCCTTGTTGTGGTGTGTCCGTATTGCGCTAACAATGGGTGGGTTGCACACAAATCACTATAGGCACGTTGCACCTTCTCCATGTCGACATGATCGGGTACACCGCGTCGAAAATTTAATCCAAGCATGCCTCCAAATACCACATTGGCAAATTCATAGCTGTGCTTAGGTAAATAGATCCTTTCACCTCATAATGGCCTATTCTGCCATTCACTATCGTCCGCTTGCGAATCATCTGTGTCATCAATTTGACAGGCGAAAGCATGGAACGTTCTCGATAATTCAGTTCCATCACCGAGGGGGGTATATCTCCTGCATAGGGTATCATCGTCGTCGTCTCTCCTGGTTCGGTGGTCCTATGTTTTTTGCAAACCACAATCCCTTCTTCTTCTTCTTCTTCGTTGTTGTTGTTGTTGTTGTTGTTGTTACTGTTGTTGCTGTTGTTGTTGTTGCGGTTGTTGTTGCTGTTGTTGCTGTTGTTGTTGCGGTTGTTGTTGTTATTGTTGTTGTTGTCGTCGTCGTCGTCTTCTTCTTCTTCATCATCATCATCCTCTCTTGAAGGTCGTCGTGGTCGTCGTCTTCGTATCGGTGGTATGTTGTCATTTTCACAAGGCCACCTATCGCCTTCTCTCACTTGGGCGTAGTTCAAGTACACCTCCTCCGGGTACA